TCACCAGGCTCAGAGGAATTACAGCCCATGGTACTGAAGAACTTGGCAGATGTCATGGCTGAGCTACTAATCGATCTTTGAAAGATCATGGGGGAAGAAGAAAAGTAGTTCAGGATTGGAAAAAGTGCAAATATCTCCATTTTCAAAACTGAGAAAAAATAGATTAGAGCATCCAAACTCTAGTATATTAGCTTTGTATAACAGTGTGTGCATGTGTGTGGGGGGGAGTTCTATTGAATAAATGAACCATCAACCCTCCACCCAACTGAAATAATTAATAAGCTCTAAACCTTGATACTTCTATAAGAACCTAACTCAGTCGAATCAGAGGTATGAACTAGGTATTAACAAGACCCAGATCAATCGTCAAAGACTTTAGACTAGGCTCAAAGTCTTTTGTCATTTGGGAGGTCTTGAAAGCCGTTGGATAAAGTGGATTGAAAGTGCTCAGGAAGTCTATTTGAATTGGTTAAGGAGACTTAATCATACCTTGTGAACCTGACATGAACCCAACAAAGCTAGTTTGGGATTGAGTGTCTTGTCTGACATTACAGAAGAGAAGGCATCTCAGCCAAGCACCTGAAAAAAAATCAAACTGATTCTACTTCATATTTTATAGCTAGTATTTTTATTCTGTATTACCACTGACATTTTTATAACTGCCTAAGACATATTTTATTGTCTCTGAGTTAAGTTTAGAAATTCAGCTTTCCTGAAAATTACTCATTGTCTCTAAGTTAAGTTTAAAATTTCATTTTTTTTCCCTATGAAATCAATGTTCTATTCTTATGTCAAGGAAATCTGTTATCTCTCTCCCACTAGCTGCCCTTCAAGGAAGCCTGGTTTGTTATCCATGTACCACTAACTAACCTTGCAGGTGGAAACAACCAATCAGCAACAAGATGGTGGTTGATGACTCCGAATACCCTCCAACCAATCATATTGTTTTCCCCAACTGTGATGCTACAGGGGCAGCTAGATGGCACAGTGGATAGAGTACCAGGCCTGGAGTCAGGAAGACTCATCTTCCTGATTTCAAATATAGCTTCAGACACTGACTGTGTGACCCTGGGCAAGTCACTCATCCCTGTTTACCTCAGTTTCCTCATCTGCAAAATGAGCTGGAGAAGGAAATGGCAAACCATCCCAGTATCTTTGCCCAAAAAATGTCAGATGGGATCGTGAAGAGTTGGAAACAACTGAAAAATGACTGAACGACAAAAATTATGCTAACCAATCATATTGTTTTCCCCATCTATGATGCTGCCTTTTACTGTGGATGTTCTTCCTCTTGTCTATAAAAAAGATCTATAAGCCCCACCTCAGTATCTTAGCTATTGATGAGGAGGCCAATACCCAATTTATTGGCAAATTTGTGCTTTGTTAATAAATTAATCATATTGAGGACTTTGTGCCTCAGTTTACCTTAATTTCAATCATGACATACTTTGCTTGAAGGGGAGGAGAGAAGCAAGCCTTGATCTCATCCCAGACCCACTTTGACCACTTGAGGACTTTGTGAACTTTGGAACGTTAGAGGCTTCAGATTTCTAATTCATCTTCTTAGAAGTTTTTCTAGAACAGCAGCAACTGACACACTGAGGAAAGGCAACTGGTAATCATTGGGTGAATCACACTGATAGGGGGTTGGAAGCATTCAAGACTACCACCTAGAACTCTGAATACACATATAGTAGCCATCCTCTGAAGACCTGAATTGCTCTTTTAAGTGGGGGTTAGAATAGTTGGCATAGTTGCCTCAGAGCATGTGCTACACTAGCAAAATTCTAGAAGGTAATGTTAAAAGTAATAAATATTAAAGATGTCAGCAAACATCCAGAAAAGGAAAGGGAGAAGCATGTCTGTGCTTGGTTTCAACTCCACAATCATCATTCTTCATTCCCACCCCTCATCACCTGGTATTTCATCATCAAGGAGGCTGATTCAACTTTAATACTACATACACCTCCTCAGCACCCTCAGTTGCCTCTTTCCTGTGATTGGTGGGCTGAGCAATAAATTCCTCCTAAAGTCTCCCTCTATAGAGAGCTCAGAATTTTTCCAGCAAACTTCATTTCATCTCAGCCTCTCTTCTTCTTGGTTTTGATTCTAAGAACATCATGCCACCATCCTAGGTACCTTCTGGTGCCACACCCTCTTTTCATCTTCCTTTTGTGCATTGTCATCCCCCATTAGATTGTAACCTCCTTGAGGACAGGGCAGTCTTTTTCTAATTTGAATCCCCAGTGCTTAGCATAGTGCCTGGCACATAGTAGGTACTTAATAAATGCTTATTGACTCTCTACTATTGACTAGTATGGCTTAATCAAGAGTGTGATACCACAGACATTTCTGATCATGGCCAATGTGTTGATGTGCCATGCTTGACTGTTTATTTGTTACAAAGAGAAGTTTGTTTTTTTTTTAATTTGGAAGGAAGAGGTTAGTGATAGAAAGGCAAAAAAGAAGGAATCAAGGAAAACAAGGTCATTGAAACATT